TATCAGTACCTCCCCCTCCGCCTACCCGACGGCTTACAACACCCTGGTTATGAATTTGGCACACTTTTTGGGTGTTCTTACCCTTTCTTCTGGATTTTTGTGGGTGCGCTTTGGGTATTCGTGGATGTTGATTGAAAATGTATGCTTAAAAAGCGAAACTATAAAAACTTTTTTGGATGTTCGTTAGGCGTTGCTATACTCAACGCGACGAGCTCTATCGATTGGCTAACTCAGATTTTACTTTGGGGGTGTTTGCGTCTTTTAGAAATACCCTCTAATATCGTACATTGTATTTCTACGTGTTATAGCAGTATAGTACTCTCTGAAAAGATTCGTATCAAAATAACAGGGCATAAATTGGAATGCCTTGTTATTTGAAATACTAGAGTTGATCTGTCTTATATTAAGACGAATCAAACCGATTACTTCTCAACCGACTAATGCTGTTTTATTTTAAGACGAACAAACTTGTCGATCTTCTCCCAATGTGAGCTATTTTTACATCTTATTTGTATTATTAGCAGTTGAAGGGTAGTTATGGTGAAGGATCGTGAAAGCATCTCAAGTACTGACCATATCAGCAGTTATAGTGAGAAAGTAAAATAAAAAACAAATTTTTTTTTAAGAGATCATTGTTCTTCATATACGCGTGGCAAAAAAAAAGAGATGTATGACTTTTTCGTCAATTACAGAAATAAGACGGAGGAACAGCTCGCAGTAATAAGCGTCTCAGATAAGATGGACGAAACAGAAAGTCGAATAACAGAAGCCGAACTTTTTTCAGGGTATAGATTTTTAACTAATCTCACTTTGGCGAGCTATTGAATATTGCATGATTGGCGGTAACTGAGATTTGACATTTGCGTTAAATGTTTCTAGTATTATTGGTTCTTCTGTTTCACAAGCATTACATTCTTGTGGCTTCTTCGAACACTGTGTTTTAACCATGCTTTTCTTAAATATTGGTCGTTTAATATAGTTTTGATAATTATCGTTCCATTCATGATATGTGCACCAATGGTTGTGTGTAGATTCATTAGGTCCAAAATTGAAAGTCACAGTGGGCTTGATTTTAACGTCTGATTTATATTTCAATCTAAAAATTATGTTGACTATCGTGACAAACATAAGAAGCATTCTCTTTCTCCATTGGCTAACCAAAGACTGAGTGTGATACACTTAGCATTCATATGATTATAATAGACGTAATAGGTTGCACTTCGAATGGGTAAGGAAGGACTTTACTTTCATAAATCATATTTTATATGATACCCACCCATGTTTATTACTTTTTGCTTACTTTTTCTGTTGTTGCACCGGTTTTAATATCGGCAAAAGTTGAAATGTTGATGAAATTAACTGAGTTCGTTTAACTAATTTCTTGTCTTTCTTAACATTAGTGGACATTTCATCGTTTTTTTATTATATTCCATTCGTTGTTATTAAAAGATTAAAAAAAATTAGCAATTTCATCATCTTTATTATCGTTGATAATTTATAAAGTGGGCATGAAATTTAATTCTTTTTCAAAACACTTCAATATTTTAAATAAAATAACTTTTCAATGTTTAGTTTCAGGGTAAAACACAAAATCAATCGCACTTTTCTATTGAAATCATACATGTGCCGTACACAGACATTGAAATGTACGTCATCCACTTTAAATTAATGTTGTCTTCAACATACATATGGTAGATATATATCTACATGAAATATATGGATAGATAAAGTGATTATATTGACGAAAGCATAATTATTATTTTGTCAAAAGCATGTAAAGATATTGAAAGAGATTTTTCTGAATGAAGAAACGCCTATTGTAAACCAGATATAACATTCAGTATATATGTGTGAAATACAGGAAGAGAAGCAATTAAGGGGGCCTCCCTCAGGAATTCGATGTTTTCTTCGAAACCTTTGAAACTGAAGTGACTATACGGTTCAGTATCCCAAAGTGTCATCTTTCAGTATCCATCTCAGTTTGCCAAAAATTCAATTTTTTTGGAAGATTTTGAAAGAGATTTCTGAAAGCTCGAAAAATCATCTTTTTCTAAATTTCACATTTTAATTAAAATTGTTAAGGTTGTCCGTTCTGACAGACATGGAGCTATGTTGAGCAGAGTGTTCTGATCAGAATGAGATGTCCAGCAGATTTGTACAACTTCGTCTAGCAGAGTTATACTAGTTTTGTTAAAGGAGCTGCACTACAACTAATGAAGTGATGACATCATTACTTAATATGGTTTTGACGCGGTGAAGTTGTGATAACTAAAGGTTGAAAGTAAAGTCTTTCAAATCATAAGTTTATTAGACTTATGGGTAAGATACTGAACAGATGCAGTGATTTTAACCTGTTGTAGAAGAATTTGTGAAATGGAGTGCTGTAAACAAAATCAGGCCCAACATGGTTCTGATATAAAAAAATGCAGAATTTAACGAGTTAAAATATATTAGATTTTTTTAGAAAGTATACCGTCAAGCACTTATATTCTCAATAGTATATGACTGTCCCGACTTTTATTTACGGTGGTTCTTAAAATTATTGAACCATGTGTATTTTCAACTTTTCTCCTCGAAGATAATAGCTATAACAAATCTGAAAAAACAACGTTCAAACAGCGTTCAATTTGAGCAAGGTCCCATGTCACTAAAATTAGCGAACTTAATCTCAAAAAAAGAAAAATATCGCTTTCATTTTTTTACCCATAAGTCTAACAAACGTATGATTTGAAAGAATGTGTTAAAGCTCATTCGATAGCCCTTTCAATTCTGCATCTTTCTATGTACAAACTATGCCTAATGTCTGTCTGTAGAAGAAATAAACGTTGGAAATTCTAAAACTCAAATTGGCTGTAAGAGATCCCTTGAAGACGAGCAGGATGGTAAAAGACCCGCTGCCCAATCTTGCAAACCTATCTGGTCCCAGCATTTAGAAGATAAAATTCTCTTTCATACTACATTCTAACTGATATACTTATGGGAAAAAAAGTATGTATTGGTTAGAAAAATTTACTTCGTCGACAAATTCAATTTTTATGAATTCAGTGAAAACCCTGAAGTTATGTCCACTTCCGATTCAAATACTTTGTACATGGAACGATAGACTTTAGTGAGGTAGTAAATACCCTAAAAGGATTCGGGCCCATGACTCTTGAAGAAAAAATTTTTTTTTACAGAAACACCCGGTCTTCGAGAGTCATGGGCCCGAATCCTTTT